TTGCTACCGTATTTATATACCAAATTCAAAACGTTTAGCTTAAGATAAAGAAACCGAAGTGGTGTATATCACGTGTGTATATAATTAATCGGAGTTACTGGATGTTTAGAAGTCTAGTGAGTGATGCAGCGATACCTTTGTCTTTAATGTGAGAGTCGACGAAATTCTTATTTCTTGCCAAATCGATCGCAATACGTTGAATGTACGATGAACTGCAATTGATTTGCAGTTACGAACAGAAATAAACACATGGATATAAGTATTCAGGTTTTTGAAATAAAAAGATATTTCAAGCGTAATATAACTGTATTTATTGTCACTGTAAATTTGAAATTCAATTTTGATGATTGCATTATTCGTATAACAGTCTGTTTTAACTCTAAGCTATTGTACATGATTTTTTATTACATTCATTAGTTACTTCTTGTATTTTATAATAAACTTGAGAAATGCAATTGATTGGTGACAGTAAATACAGACACTATTAAATTTAAGTCTGGTTGAATTGAATGAAGCTCAATCATAAGAGAAAAAAATTCTTTGTACGGAAAGTAACAAACGCAATTTACACATTATCGTTATTTTGATAACAGCTAGTCTCATATTTTATATTTATTTAATGTTTAAGCAAATAGGTTCATTTTATAAGGACACGACCAAATAGATGTAATGGGAACGCGTTTTCTTTAATAATTAGTATCGTTCCTGCGGTAACATATGTGCAACATTTTTGTACTAATTGAAAGATGATCCCGTCACGTATAGAAGTTTTGTACTCGCTTGACGTGTCCTACATAACTAGCAAATGTCTTCCTTCTCTTTAGTATCCAGAAATAAATAAAGGTTGAAAGTAGGGCTTTCGTGCAATATGTACAAGACTTCTATAATTTGATAATTCCTGAGTGTGACTGTGCCTCTCTGAGCAGTATAGACAAAGTAACTCTATGCACGGCTTTGTTTAGCGCATTGAAGATTTATATAAAATAAAAAAAAAAAAACGATAGAACCTCAGATTACTGGGAGCAGTACAAAGATATGCAAGAACGACATTTTGTCTTTAATTTTTATAATATGCAGTGAAATGCTACTATTTAGGTGCTTAGCACCTTTGTATCATGATGCAGTAAAAAAAAAAGAAGTCACTGATCTGTAAATATCACCTAGACTTAAGTTTCTAAATATAATAGAATGAGAAGAGGGCAGCTGATAAAGGCTATAAAAGCTGTGGTAGAAATTTTCTTGCGATCATCTGGCTGTCTACGGAATATTCTACTGAGCCTACCACCTTACATTTCTATTTATTATTTATTCGCATAAAACGACGCATAAAAGCACGAGCGGTGTAAGCATTGTACTATTGTACAGGAAAAGAAATAAACTGCTCGGATCTATACTTTAAGAGTCTATTTATTAAAAACATTGTCTCGTAATTACAATTAAATATCTTTTAAGCTGGCCATAAAACCTGTCATTAAATCGTACATTAAATCTATAACAATATACATAATGTAAATTCAATCTATTTCTTCAGGTCTCACAGGATGAGTTAGTGGTATCACTGATTTTTTCTTTATATCTCTTGAAAGTGCCTTTCTCATGTCTGAAAGAAAAAGAGAAAGAAGAAAATTCAATTTATATTTTAAAACATTTTTATAAAAATAATAATTTGCATACCAAAAGCATCTTCATCTGGATTTCCATTATAATATTCTAAAACAGTCCTGTATACAATATATCCCAATTGTTGATACATTTTGATAGCTACCTTATTACTAACTCTTACAAAAAGATCTACAAAATACGCTTGTTTCCTATAATAATGTAAAATACATTAGAACATAGATATCAAATCTTATTTTCAATAACTTACTTCTCTGAAACCTTCTCCAAAAATTCTATTAACATTGCAGCCAAACCTAATCTCCTGTAATTAGGAGAAACTGTAAGAGCCGTTATGTGACCATGCCAGTTCTCCCCTTGTCCTTCTGCTTTTCCCATAACTATAGGATTTATTTTTATATTTATTTTCACAATGCACAAGCAAGATTAAACATAATAATTACTTACTATAACCCATAATTTCTCCACTTGGCGATTCTGCCACTTGAAAATACTCTGGCCAGTGTGCCAAATAGTGTGTATAAAAAGAGAGTCCATACTACAAAGTTCAAAATTAAGAAAAACACAAAATTATGTAGTTAATATATTTAAATATAGCAGTTACTGTATAAATTTAAAGGATACTGTCTCCGTGAGTGGATCTAGATTTCTGCAAAAAATAATGTTATTAAAAGAAAGCCGATATGTGATTGTTTCTATTTATAATTGTACATTTAGGTTAAAAACAAGATCATTAATTGTTAATTGCATATTTCGATACTTACACATTATTGAACTTGAATAAATCGTTGCATGTGAAAGGCCTAAGAGTTGTCATGTTTTAAAAACAAGAAATTAGATAAATAAATGTGATAAAAACGTGATTTACGACGGGAAGACACTATTAATTCCAAACGCAGGCCATTGACTAACGTACGATAGACTTAACGTACAATTCTCTGCTGTATTCCACGTTTTGAAACACACTGTTCTTAATATTTTTATATCATATGTGACATTATCAATTTCACATAGTAATGATTAAAACCAGAATCTGTTCTTACAAAGCTTATTATATTTTTAATTTCAATTTTGCGTCCAATTTTATTCGATGCACATAAATAATAATATAGTTTGCCAGAAATTAAATACCATTCCGAGTGCTTTGATCTGTCAAATAACATTGGTAAATGCTTATGCATTTTATAGGTCCAATTAAGGGTTTAATCCAAAGATTAAGGTCTAATTAAGAAAACGCAATTATAAAAGTTTATAGATTAATCTCTTTAATTACATTTTTTTACAAATGAAAATTTAATCAAATCATGCACATTCAAACACTATCACCACGTAGCGGCGATATAGTGGAACTAATCACTATTTCTGTCCTTGTCGCGCGTTATTGTGCATACTTTTATTGCGCTCCTTGT